AGAAACCAAGTACAGTCAAGATGCAGTGCTGGTTGTATTAGCTCATGGGTAATAAGAACAGTAACACATTTACATACTAATGTACACATAAGGCAAGCACTTATCTCAGATGCAGACAGGTGCCCAGGACAGGTGATAACATCGGATCCATTGTTCCCAGAAAGATCAGTTCCTGACGATGGTGTTTTCATAAACATGCTCTGCAAGGGAGAACAGGCGAGAGCTAGTAACAATAGTGAAGTATTAATATGAGAATCACCTTGTCAAACAAACAAATAATCAGTCAGGAAGTCGGATTTGATGTAGAATCCGCCAGTGTGCCAACAAATTAAACCCCAGCTGCCGACCACCCATCAATATAATATCTTTCTCATGTCCATTTACACCAATTACATTTTCAATGCTATTTTGTACAAGACCCGAGGTTTATCTGAACCGTCGAGAAATGCAAAACATGAAACATGGACTTTAAATAATGATCATGTTAGAACCTGCAGCTACCGGTACACACATTAGTCGACAGAAACATCTCACATGTTTACTCGAAAACATCAAAACCTGTAGAACCTGTAGATCGGCAATTAGTGGTTTCTAATATAATTAATCATTTGTGTTTTGCTTTCGGTTATGAAGCCATTCCAGTACAAACCGCAAGTATCCTCGTCAACTTCCCATCATTAAGCTTTTCTCTCTGCGTCTGACTTTGCTTTTTATCCCTTCTGTATAACAGACGAAGACGGACGAGGACGTGATAAAGCTATACCACTGGGCAATATGCCCCTGAGAAGGAGGACCATGTACCTCTGATAAACATGACTTTTGCTTCCAGTTCTGCTTTTACGGTAAAACCCTCCAGCATGATTATCCTCTTACCGTGCTTTTGTCCTCTTGGCGGTCTTACTTTTCTTTCTTTTATTTCTGTATAAAAGATGAAAACAAATGTGGGAGTGTTCAATATTCTGTTATACCACTCCTAAATATGACTATCAACAACTCATCAAACAGTACCCGTAAAGACCCGGGATGGAATTGGTGTTCAGTAGTAAGATGAGGTTGTCAGGCCCGTGTGGTTGACACATGTCATCGTTTTCCAATTGATTAGATCGATGTTCCTGATCACATCAAGAACCGATTATTTACAGACCGACGCCATATAGATGGAAGATAGCTTAATGTGGCGTTACACAGCAAACACAATTAAACAGGACTATGTGCCGCTGGTAAGCAGGACGTCTTACCACTAATAAACATTTCGCAGTCCTGTGATGTACATCATTGAACTCTACACTACTATGGACCAAGGATAACGGCAACTATAGTACTCATGACCCGCGGACCGAGGTAGCTGAGGTCGTTGCATTTCTTCAGACCACTGGGCCACCTTACGATTCATTGTTTATATTGAATGTCTTCCTTGAATGTCTTCCTCGACACATTCAGGACATTGTCTATCTCGGCCACTTCAAATGACAACTGAAAACGCACTTGTTCAACATACCCTTCGCCTTTGAGCAATACGCCTTACAAATATTAACTTGATTATTTATTATTTATTATGTGTATAGTCACTGCGCACACATGAGCGTTGTAGTTTCTTAATCAGCGTCTAAGTACCTCTTTTGGGGCCTACTTTCTTGTTCATTCCAAACTGGATGTTGCTGGAGTATGGACTATAAGCAGTTCCTGGTAACAGAGAGAATTTCAGTAATATCAGAATGTATCCAATGTTTGCACAATATATCTATAATTTTAAGTGTCACCCTCGATACACCGTGTTACCTGACGCCGTGCAGGTCACAGAATTCAGGCAGAAACACATTTAGACAAATGTTTCAGTGTTATTTCAGGTGTTAGTGGCAGGGAACGTTTAATTGGTCATTGGAGATGTGACACTGTGGACATTGTTTGCAAAATGGCATGACGAGATAAGCTTGTCCGGCTGACTCGTCATCGTGATGGTCACCAAAGCCAGGTTCACCACAGGTCTTACTCTATCTTAATCTATGTGGGAATACACCTCGCCCACTCCAACTAATTTAAGTTGAATCCGAATCGTCACCGGGGTCTTTATTAATTACTCTACTTGTTTAGAACTACGATGAGTGAATGGGTTAAGATTTAGAGTCACATCGGCAATACTTGATATCGTGACTAAAACAATACATACATTAATAATGAATAAAGTTATTTCATAAAATCTGTCAACAAAGAACGGTAAAACAACCAGGTTATCACAGGTATAAAGTTAAAACTGGCATATTAGCAATTAAACATTTACTACAATACAGTACAATACAATATACAGAACGGGCTATAGGTCACCAGCCAATGAAATCAGATCACTATACTAGGGACCATGGGGACCTGCGTGGACCGTAGCTGGATTTCGAACTACGGACTAATTGATACATACATGCCTATAATTCTTTATTGTGTCTAATACTAATTTATATTTCTTCTTGTACGGTTATTCTCGAGTAATCATGAAGAAAATAGCACAGAGTGTGCAAATGGAAACATTCTGATGAAAAAATATGTTTGTTTAATGTTGAAAAACGATAGACATATTTTCACATTCATTAAGAAATATCTCCTGCTGTTCGATTCCGAATGTGTTCATGAATCCCGAAAGGAAGTCCTGGGTTAATGTTCATTATCTCCCTCAGCACTTCAAATAGGAAACATGTTACCTTGTTCTTGCCGTGTGATTTCATCATCTTCAAATCCAAGGTTGCCATAGATATGAGCATCTGAAACATTGTGTTACTTCCGAATAAATATCCTATACGACATAACTTGTCAGCTCGATTTGGCAGAATGACCATGCATAGACTATGAACCCAACGAGGACAGGTATGAAGTTCACAAAGTCAGAAACAAAATTACAGGACATCACTGACTTGATCATTGGATCAAACCAGGTTCCTGTCACACGTAAAAGGGACACAACCGTGAACAGAAATGCATTACCTTATACGTCTTGGCATTCAGTACCTTTTTAGGACGAAAACAAATAGTCTTATAAGTCTTCTCTATAGCTTACACATCGACGACGTGAACTCATGCCGAAACAGTTTCAACAGGACAAAGTAGCTTTAACATTTACATCGATAATTGATAGGAGTGGCTATAATGATTGATAATCGGAAATATTGTCGATGGGAAAAATTATTCATGATTATCAATATGAAAATTGTATCATCGATAATATCGTACATCAAGTTTTGAGTGAGTGAGTTAGTTTAAGTTTATAGTCACATCGGCAACATCGGCAATATTTCAGCCATATCGTGGCCTTTAAAAATAAATTAAATTCATAATAAACGCAATTAAATTATATAAACCTGTCGACGAAGGAGAGTAAAATAACTACATTATCACAGATAGTGAGTGAGTGAGTGAGTGAGTGAGTGAGTGAGTGAGTGAGTGAGTGAGTGAGTGAATATTGCTTAACGCTGCATTATCTCAGATAGAGAATTAGATCAAATGTAAACTGTCAAAAAGGTAGATCACCACTCTAAGGACCATTGGGACATACAGTACTTTTACTACCTGGACCCTAGATGGATTTACACCATCCCTTCAGCCAATGGGTATTGAAGATAAATATAGACATAAATTAAAATCACACATATACTACGATTAAAATTGTGGAAAGAAGAAATATACTCTGAATGTACACTCTCAGGAGGACAATATTTGTACAATATTTTAACTCTCTTTGGGATACAGCCACTAACAATCTCGGTTATGAATTTACTCTACCAATTTGGAATGAAATAGATCTATCTACAAGTTATCACAGATTTTTTCAATCAACCTATAATTAACAGTAGCAAAAAGATCCTTAACAGTTTTTACATTGAAGTACGTATACCTTGTGATGGAAAAATCAATACAGTGCAGGACATGCTTGATTGTGATTCTTTCATCACAAGCTATACCAAACAGAGGATCTTCACCTTTCAGCAAATATTCGTGAGTGTATCTGGTATGACCAATGCCAATGACCTCCTCAGATCTGGGTTGACAACCCCAGTAGGTGTAACCGATAGATGGTTTTATTTCATGTAGTTTATTTATACCTAGTTGAGTGTCCCACTTCTTTTGCGCCAGAGCTCGGATATAAGATCTAATGATATCTTTATAATCAGATGCAGAGTATTAAATAAGGTATGGTGTCACAGATTTGTTGAGTGCTGCCTTAGCAGCAAGATCAGCCATTGTGTTACCAGAAATGCCAACGTGGCTGTGTGACCAACAGAGGACGATGTCTCATTGACCAGTAGCCGGATCCTTCTATAATCTAATAATTTCAACTAAGGGTGGATGTTTACAAGACAGAATTGTAATAGCCTGTAGGCAAGAAAGAGGGTCAGAAAAGATTATGCATTGTTTGTGTTTGCGGTAATTATTACATTAACTTTGTGATAAAATTTATTTTTCTATTTTCCCATACAATATGTAAATGTTAGACTTTATTCTGTCTGCTTCTATATCTTGTTCAGAATAAAGAACGTTGTTTTGTCAATAATCCATGCAACACAACTCACCAGTGATGTTAAATATATTCATTTCTTTCAGACATTTTTGGCATTTTGCTCAACATTCTGTCTTCTTTATTTCGATAAATGATCGATCGATTATCGATCGCTATATTCTTTTTTCGATAGCAAGCCCTACTAACTGAAAATCAGTGATGACACCAGGTGTTTATTAACAGGGTACGTCTGTCCTGCCAACCCTGTTAGTACACAGACATGTAAATAACCTTTCCTTTGGGTCATTTCAATTCCGTAATTGGAATTTTCGGCACCTTGAACACATAAAAACCTCATCTGCTAATGCAAAATTGCAAGGCAAAACGTAATATAATATTATTTCCTTGTTTTTGTCACTCAGTATGTGCTATAGATAATATTGGTGCTATACCTTCACATCGCCGTTCACGTCACTTAGTATATACTCTAGATAATATTGGTGCTATACCTCCACTTGGCCGATCCATGGTGACGTAATTCTGTTGTCGTCTTGCTTCATTTGTCCTTGACGCCTGTGCAGTTCTAGTATACATACACAAACACAAAACCATGCTCTAATGAACAATGCAAACATATTCCTGTTTATTAAAATTAGGAGCTTAAAACTCAAAGATATGGTTCTTTACTCTGACAAATTATGTTCAGTACGTTTTATAACCGTGCAGCCAAGAAAGAGCTACAACGAATTTACAAGTGAGCCATCGTGATTGATTTACATATAGACATAAATATCATCATTCATGAGGAAAGTATTCATTTTGTTACATGTTATGTACATTACTCTATAATTGAATACATAGGTATGCACATGTTAGATCGTTATCTACTTTTGCAGGTTAAGTGGATCAGTAAGGTCAAATTTTACTCCGCTTCTTTTCCAGTGAAAAATGAAGAAACATAGTCAGCCACCGACAGTTCCCGTTTTTTACCTTTCCACCAATTGCATGTTTGTCCGACAATAGAAGATTGTTTAAGAACTAAACGACACTGTGTGAATTTTGGCACAAATGTAAATATCGTCTTATATAGAGGAGAGAGGTGAAGGGTGGGAAGCATGTTGGTAAAGACTCAATTTCTGAATTTAGTAGATGATGTTAAGTATCAATTACTGATGAATATTGAATAGCAAACATATACCATTTAGCAGAATCGGTCCCATTTACAGGAAAATGAGCTGATCTTGTGATTGAAAATATATTAAATCATCTCATGAGACAAATGACTAGTTGTGAGAAATTGCAGTATAATAATCACCATAACTGTAAATGGCTTGTTACAAGCTACTTGTTACATACTGGATATGGTTTAAAAAACTCTACCAATACATATATACAGAACACCTACCTCTCTTGGTTCTCCTCTGGTTTATTCTCAGCTAGAAATAGATACGCAGTTGTCAATGTCATGTTTAGAACAATGCTATTCTATTCAACAGAAGTAAATAATAATATGTCCTTAAGCATAGTATTGTTGAAATAAATGTTAACTGTACGTGTTCAACGTCTTTTGTATCTATACTAAGCAGCAAAAGAAACGCCAGTTTGGAATTTTCCTTTGCAGAAACTGATAACAGTGAACTCATTTAATGTTTTGATTGCATATTTTTGAGAACATCTCCAACTTTACCTGAGCAAAGACATTCCTTCCCAAACTCAGAATGGAACACAGGAAATGGTTTCAAAAACGAAACCTGATCTCGGAGATGGCACGGTGTTCTCCATGTTTTTCATGCAACTCATGCTGCACGTGCTGTTCACAACGACCAGCCCTATAACATGCACCCCCAAACATTCACATTACAATGTCAGCAGGATGCCGCGACTCACGACAGCTCAGGGGAACCAGGCGCTAGGAACACTTCAAGCTGGCCACACTGCACAAGCCGTTGTCAATCACTTCCAGGTCAACGTTCGGACTATCTACAGGCTGCAGCAACGCTTCCGGGCCACCAACACCACAAATGATCGCCCCCGTACTGGCAGACCAAGGGTGACCACAAGACGACAAGACTGCTTTGTTGTGCGACAGCATGTACAGAATCCCTTCATGCAGGCATCCGAAACAGCACGCCAGACAGTGGGAACACACGGAAGACCAATCAGTACTGATACAGTACGCCGACGTCTTAACAGCGGGAACCTCCATTGACGTAGACCTTACCGTGGACCTATCCTCAACCCTCGTCATCGGCGTGAACGTCTACAGTTTGCCCTACAACACTAAAACTGGCGATACAGGCAATGGAGAATTGTCCTGCTCACAGATAACAGTCGGTACTGCTTATCAACTGCAGATGGCAGAACAAGAATACGGCGACGTCGTGGCCAGCGTTACTCAGACCAATGTGTTATGGAAAGAGACTCATGGGGAGGTGCAATCATCACGGTATGGGGTGGAATAGGCCTGAACCAGAGAGTGGGTCCTGTGGTGTTCCAGAACCTAGGTCCAGGAAGAGGAGGCAGCATCACAGCGGTGCGCTACATCGACCAAGCTATCAGACCCCACGTTATACCACATTTCGCACGTCACCGGAAAACATTTTCCAGCATGATAACGCCCGGGCCCATACTGCCAGAGCTACAAAGGACTTCCTACAGCAGAACGGTGTCAACATTATGCAGTGGCCACCCCTTAGTCATGATTAAACCCAACTGAACATCTTTGGGATGAAATTCAGAGGAGACTGAATAATGTCATACCAAGGCCGAACACAGCCGATTTATTGCGCCAGGCCTTTCTCAGACGGTGGTACCAGGTGCCAATGGCCTTCATCAATCGATTGAGGCACTCCATGCATAGACGCTGTGCTGCAGTTATTGCCGCTCGTGGTGGTCACACTAGATACTGAAGTCAAGAGTCTGAATGGACTGCAAACATTCACGTAATGTCTTGAAATTGTGCTGAGTTATTCATTGATGTGTCAGGATATTGTACACAAAAACTTGTTTTGATCAGCTTATCATGTCCATTTCTGTAATGATTTGATTACAGTGCCCATCTAATTTTGAATTCATTCTGACGGTTTTTTTGCTGCTGAGTATATGTGTATATTTTATGTCACCCATGCCAGCAAATCATACCACAAAGAGGGTCCGTAAGTAGGTGGCGGCACATTGCGAGACCTTACGTAACGAACATTCCGGTAACAAACAACGTTTCATACATTTTCGAATGATCTCATGGTTGTCAGTTTACCGTAAAGAACCGACAATCCTTGAAGAAATGACACGTTTTTTCTCTAACAATCAACAAATAAGCCAACTATTACGACTCTGAAGAGCTATGACAGCCAAGTATATGCTTGTACACTTGGTCCGGTAGAGCAGAGTCATATTTGGCGGTCGCGCAATTTAGAACCACAAGCGGTTCTTGAATATACGCTTCTCACCAGAAATCTAGTCCTTCCTTGAAGTAGTATAATGGCATTACATTGTTCCCATCACTCAGTATATGCCATATATAACATTGGTGCTATACCTCCACTTGGCCGCTCCATGGTGACGTAATTCTGTTGTCGTCTTACTTCATTTGTCCTTGACGCCTGTGCAGTTCTAGTATACATACACAAACACAAAATCAATGTGCTCCAATGAACAATGCAAACATATTCTTGTTTATCAAACATTAGGAGATAAGACCTCAAAGATATGGTTCTTTACTCTGACAAGTAACGTTCAGTACGTTTTGTGACCGTGCAGCCAACAAAGGGCTACAACGAATTGACAAGTGTGCCATCGTGATTGATTAACATGTAGACATAAATATCAGCATTCATGAGGAAAGTATTCATTTTGTTACATGCTATGTACATTACTCTATAATCGAATACATAGGTAATCCTTGCACATGTTAGATCGTTATTTACTTTTGCAGGTTAAGTGGATCAGTAAGGTCCAAATTTACTCCGCTTCTTTCCAGTGAAATATGAAGAAACCTTGCCAGCTACCGACAGTTCTCGATTTTGACTTTCCACCAATTGTATATGTTAATTCGAGAATGGAAGACTTTTTAAGAATTCTAGGAGACTGTGAATTTTAACACAAGTGTAATATCGTCTTATATAGAGGAGAGATGTGAATGGCGTGATACATGTTGGTGAAACATTCAATTTCTCAAATTAGTAGATGATATCAAGTATCAATTACTGATGAATATTGAATAGCATATATATATATATATATATATATATATATATATATATATATATAATTTAGCAGAATTGGTCCCATTTTGAGTAAAATGAGCTGATTTTGTGATTGAAAGAATACATGTCGTGAGAAAAATGACTAGCTGCCATTTTGCTGTGAGAAATTGCGGTATAACAATCACCATGACTGTCAATGGCTTCTTACCAGCTACGTATACTTGTTACATACTGGATAAAACAACTCTATCAATACACACTGGATTAAACAACTCTATGAATACATATATACATACATGCAGAACACCTACCTCTCTTGGTTCTCCTCTGGTTTATTTTCAGCTAGAAATAGATACGCAATTGCCAATGTCATGTTTAGCACAATGCTATTCTATTCAACTGAGGTCAATATTACATGTGATATGTCCTTATGCATAGTAATGTTGAAATAGATGTTAACTGGTGAACGTCTTTTGTAGCTATGTGCATATTTTATGTCAGCCATGTTTTAAAGTCTACCAAAAATACACTTACGTTTTGCAGCATGTACTCTCCTCCTAAAATAGATAATAATGATGATGAGGATAACAATGATGACTAGGCCAGCAGACCCCGTTCCTATGGCAATCACGGTGTTTGTGCTTGTAGTGTCATCGCTCCCAATCCCAAAAAGAAGCTTGCGCTGCGACAGAACAGATCAAAAAGAAGAATTGCAAATAGACAGATGTAGGATTGACATGTCATCTATGAGAATTTTAGTACATGTGACGATGTCTGGGAAGTTTTGCCTCAGGCTTTTTTTCCGACATCTTATACAAGAGTCGGTATCCTCCAGTCCACAATGTACACGTAAGCCTACACTGATTTCTCAGGCAGATCTGGAGTACAATTATTTTACACATTTTCCAATTCCACGTTACATCCTCTCCAGAAAAGTATGCTTGAGATCGTAGTTGTGTTAAGATCTCTGACAGGTTTAGCCAAAACATTAACATTGAAACGTGTTTTACTCAATGTCTAAGCTGATAATGTGTCACCGAGAAAAGGGTTACTTACATACTTCGATGCCACTACCTACAACTCGAATTCTCATATCAGTTCATCTAGTAACTAGAACTTGTGAATGTGTTTGCTTCTCCTTCTACACTTTACGTTAGGAAGGTTCATCTGGTTGTGGCGGTGCGCACTATTTTACGAATAAGTTTAAGATGCGGGTTAGAATATGTTTTCAGCAAACCATGCTTGTCGTAAAAAGGCGTCTAACAGACGTGTGGTTAACATATAGCATTGGATCCTTGTTGCATTGATTGGTGCTCATTATGTTGAGCACTGGATTGTATGGTCCACACTAGATTATTCACAGACCGCCGCCATATTGCTGGAACATTGCTGATTGCGGCGTGTAACAATAAACAATCTAAATTATTAATGTATCAAATAAGTTTCATTTCTATGCATTTCTATACATAATCAACACCACAGTTATGTCAGCTGATTGTTACTGAAACTTATTTCATTGATAGTTGAAACTACATTACATCAGCAAAGATTATATATATATATATATATATATATGTGTGTGCGTGTGTGTGTGCGCGTGTGTGTCTGTGTTCGTGGGTGTGTGTACTTACATGTATTTACGATTATCTTTGTCATTACGAGTGATGTCCCCTGTCCATTTGTAGCAGAGCAGGAGAGGTTCCCGGCATCAGACGTTGATAGATCACCCTTTGTGAACAGTTGACCATGGCTAATGTTGTTGTTATGTAACCACATGTAGGAGGTAGCGGAGGGATTGGCGTCGTCAACGACACAAACAACAGTGACATCGCCACCCTGTTTGACATTGATGACCGGTTGGTTCGGCTCGAGGTGTAGTTTTGGTGGATCTATTTCGAATAGAGGTAAAACACAACATATGTTACAAGGAGAAATTATACATAAGTGGGTGAGTTTAGTTTTACGCCGCAGTCAGCAATATTCCAGCTATATGGCGGCGGTCTGTAAATAATCTAACCCAGACCTTCTCGATACTACAGGAAATACATGAAAAAGGTCCATGGCATAGCTTACATCTGACATTAACAGTTGTATCTGCCCGTCCAGGCGTCATCATGTGTCCGTTGTCAGCAGAACAGGTCAGTTGCCCTTGGTCAGACTTGGTTACGTTACGTTTGAGGAAGGTCGACCCAGCACTTGTTCGTCCGTTGTGTGACCACCTGAATGTGTGGACACTAGGGTTGGCATCATCCACGACACACTGAACCCGGAGGTCTTCACCGACAGCAACATTGATGGTGTCATTGCTCGGTTCCAGATGTACCTCTGGCGGGTCTGGAGACATATATGATCTTTGGTATCTTTGAGATATGGTACATTATCATTGCTGCAGTTAAGCGAAGTAAACATGTTACTACGATATGAATTGAAAAACGATAGTAATACCGAAGGGACAAGCATTTTCGACTTTGACAGTGTGCTAACGATAATCTTTAAATGTTAATTATGGAACTCCAAATCAATTTCGTGATGTCAATTAATCGTTTTACAAAATATTTCCACATTACAACATTTTGAAATGAATAAATGGTTCACAATGTCCCCCCAACATATTCGCTCAGTCCCTTGAATGTACATTTGCATATGTCTGCTTTTGTTACATATTTTCGATAATATTCAACATACATTCAAAGTAAATACAGTGTAATGGAGCATATGACGTGTCTTGAATGCATGACCCCACAGGTAGTCAGGTGGTCCTTGGCGCTTTAAACCTGCAAGAGCAAACCTATGGTCGTGGTGTGAATTCAGTACCATATCCATGTTCATGGACTTGCACTCTTCGGGATTTCATCCCACATTAAGCAGACACACTGTTTAAAGTGGTCTTAAAACAAGCTCACTTATACGTAAATGCATGTGAGAATATCCTGCATTACCCTGTATCCTTATGATCATTTTACATCTTATAACTCGCATGACTTAATGCCGTGGAACACTTACACCACACGCTTATTTCAGTGCAGGCCATCGCATTCACAACCTGGCATCTCAATGTGCCTGAATCGTTCTTGGACGTTATTCTTTCACTGAAAGTTTGTCCACTGTAAGAACGTCCACTGTGTGTCCACCTGAACGAAGTGGCCGGATAGTTGAAGTCATCGCCGACACACACCACACTGATCACCTGACCAAGGGTGACATTGAGGACACTTCCTGGTGGCTCCAGGTGGATAGCTGAAAGGTATGTACAAATAGACAAAAAGCAGTAAGTACACATTTTTCATTCTGGTTTGGAGTCACTCTCTTTACCTCAACATGTCCCCATCCAAAAGAAACCCTATTAAAACTGCCCATTGTACGAGTTCTGCCATACCATAACCATGTTCTGATGATTCATCACGATAATACATTTTATTCCATAAAATATGTCCATTAGCTATAAAAACAATTTATTTGAGAATAATACGAATAGGTTTCCGTGAATAAATAATGCGTGCATCCTACCGTAGCATCCTAATTGTGCCCCTGATCAGACAATCCAGTGATCGGTATAATGAGTAATGATCCAAACCATACCTTCAGGAAATGAAAAACACTCGACACCAACAGCATCAGATGCGCCACAATTATGCGTCCCCCATGGTCTGTGCTTGCAGTCCTTTAGATCTGTGTCCAACATCGTGCACTGGACGTCATCTAGCCACATTTTATTGGAACTGCTTACATCGATTACGTTTCCAAGCCTGTAAAGACAAGATGAATAGGCACATTTTCAAAACTATACCGTGTTATCTTAGTGACATATTATGGCTGGATAGTCAGATTGGTTTGACGCTGCTCTGAAATGTCTAGTCATTTCAGCTTGATGTGTGATGCGTGAAACACAAAAACGCGGGTCTGCTGCTGGCAAGCGTATAAAATCGGGATTCGAAACCCCTATCAGTGAAACAGCATGCAGCAGAAATCATCACCCATCCAGCTAGCCAACATTTTACAACACGAGTCAGTTTGATGTGTTAGAAAGTCTGAAGTGATGTAGATACTGGATGTGTATAAAAGGGAGGTTATGAAACCAAGGAGGACGGGTCTAACTTAGAAAATACAACGTGCCAGCATTTCACAACACTATTCCAACCTGTTCCATCTTCATTTTCATAAATTGCGTGCACTAGTGTTTAGAGATAATCCATTTGAAATAATTTTCAAATAATTTGCTTGTTACTCTTGAACTTTTACAAAGTTAATAATCCAAGGTTGATATCATTCAATGAAAGATTGGCTTTTAATTAATTGTTTCAATCAAAGAAGAATCAAACAATGAACTACCACTTACCCGTACCCCAGAGCCCTGCACACAACAGCAGCTTCTACTGGTCCAAAGCCATCATCACACACGGTTCCCCAGCTACCGGAGTGGAATACCTGCAGGAGTCCTCTTTTGTAGCTTGGTGTCAGCTTCATCGTTATGTCACCTAGTGTAGCAGCATTACTATTAAATGTTTCCTTATACATTGTTCAAAAATGAAAGCCAGAGTCTGACTTTCAAACATTTTTTCTGTGAAAAATTAAATGTATATATTTCACTCAACTTGAGCGATACGAAGATGAAACTTAGCACGATGACATCAACATGTTGACATTAATTCAATACAGAGGGTTGTTAAGATCGGTTCCTGATGTGACCACACGCTGAACAAGTCTACGGATCTCTTGTGGGATTCTCTCCTTTAATCCACCCGTAACGCGTTAGCTAGTCGAGCGTCTACTTGGCCGAAAAGGTCATCACACAGCTACCAAGGTAGAATACCTGCAGTAGTCCTCTGTTGTACGACTGTGTCAGTGTCAACGTTTTCTCACTTAGTAAGGCGGTATAACGAGAATCGTTCGCTCTTCCCTTGTAAACTCTTCAAAACAGGAACCTCCCAGGCATAATGAGAAACATGTAATCTTCCTTTGTACATTTTTTTTAAAAAGGGTCGCAATAGACTAACTTTAAAACATTTCCGTGCGTATATTTCATTTTATTTGATTAAGACGAGGATGAGACGAAGGGGTGTGGTGTGGTGTAGTGGGTGGTGTTTTGGAAGATTGCTATTTGTTTGTTTCGATTTCACTGTTATGTATTTCTAATCATGATCGAGAAAAGACAGTGACCATTGACGAGCTGCACAATAGCTATAGCTAGATTTATTCAAGTAAATTCTTGTCAAGATGATTACTCACTTGGATCACATATGATGCCAACATCTTCACTGTGACTACAACCGTTGGCGCCCCATGGATTGTGTGAACAGCTGGCCAAAGATGATTCGGTACCGGAGCAACTAACGTCATCCAACCAAATCCTCCCGACTCCAAATCCGAAACTTTGAATCGCCCTTGGTGTAACTCCGCTTTTACTAAGCGCACAAATTGTTAAATTCAAGAAATTGTCGTTTGCATCCCCAAATTGCCCACAAACTATGGGTCACAATTATAGGTCGGTAATACATGTACCTTACTACCTTAAATTTGTGTCCTACTATTGTCAAACAGACCTCACCTACCTCAAAATAAAGACATTATTACTGTACTCAGATGCAAAACTTCTTGTGACACACAAACAACATAAAAAATCAGTTTATAACTTTGGAGCCACGAGTGAACTATTATTCCATGCAAAGACCAAAGTTTCAAGGTATAGTAACGATCAACGATCCTGGCATATGTACATCAGAGGTACACAGGCAAGTTCACGCGGCCAGTAGCGAGTTTGTCCAGCTAGTGCATTGATGCAGACTTGGACCTTCGCCTCATGAAGAAAATCAGTCCATATGGAAGGAAGAATTCGTGCAGCGTTGCTAAAAGGTTCGTATGGAGTCATAAAGGTCGGATCATTTCATCCCAGACGCGTTTCAGTGGGTGACCAATCCGGGGATCTTGCGAGATCACTTCACCCCTCATCGAACCCTTCTCACTGATACACCTCTGTTGTCAGGTATGATACTGGGTGTGCGGGTTGCTGACTGAAACTTGTGTCGGCGGTGCGAGGTTCGAATCCATCAGACTTTTACTTGTGGTCGTTATTGTTCAGCTGTCACTACTGGAATAGTCAATAACGTGATTGTGTTGCAGGCAAGGTCAACATAAGCGCCAAACAGTGTTTCTATGGGCGTTCAATTGATGTTTTTTCTTCCTTCTACACTTCTAAAAACGGCATTGAGTGACATAATGATACGTGTCTTCATGCCTGGCATTTTGAAGTGAACATTACCGGACATATTTAATGCTTCTTTGAAATTTCGTACAATTCGAATAACAGCTAGTTTCCGTTTCTTTGATCACTGTAGTACACTCATTATCTGATGAAATGCATCCTATAAAACGTTATGTAAATAATTAATTTATGAACTCCCCAAAGATACGTCAGTTCTGTTTGTCTCTCTGCAAGCAGTTGTTTAACGTCAGCATTCTAGCTATAAGACATAGAGATATATTTTACACATGACTTCTTACGATCGTCCTAGTTGTCTGCAGGCCACTTTAGCTTCCTCTACACCAAAGCCATCGTCACACACAGTGCCCCACATGCCGTTATAGTACACCTCAAGTCTCCCAACTCCGTTGTCCAGTGGGGACACCAGTCGGATTGTCTGGCCAAACACTGAAAATATAAGATGATTTGTCATTATGAAACAGCATTGACAGAAACACTTCCTTACAGCCATAATGACAGAACAATATGTACAAATAAATTCTAGCGAAGTTAATACAAATAGAAACATTTGCCTGAAACCTACCACAGCAAGAAAATATGGTAAGAAGAAGTATATAAGCTGCACCCGCTTCGTCATTTTGAATGCAACTTAAAGTGTTTCTGGCTATGGTCGATGGATGAATATCGTACACCCTCAAGCGTGAGATAGGCTAGCTACGTAATTATGTAGTGGTGTTTTGTGTGTGCGTGCACACTTTCCTGGTTGATTACACCAAAACAATCCAGGTGATTGGGACATGCAGAGTACAACTTGGAAATGACTTGCAATTTTGTGAATTCACTGGCGTATTTACCTTGATAGAATGAGTGAAAAAATGTATTAAGGTTGGAGCCTTTTTGGATCAATATATGGACAGGGTGTATGACAAAATTCACGCGACTTGGTCTCCACTGACAGCGGCACAACAACTTACTGAAACACGGGAAGAAACAATAGCAACATCAAATGAAGCTTGGTTCAATTAAATATCTGAAGGTCTAAGTGTTGTCTGCTGGGCTTAATATTGATTGTAGTGTCCTGTGAGATTTGGAGCACTTTTCCTTGTTGGTTGTAGGTGTTTCCGGGTGCAACGCAGAGAGAGCATTTGCTCGTTTATCATTTTGTTTATTTGTGAAGGTGCGAGTTTAACTTACTGTGTGTCCAGTCTACAGGTTAGTTATCACCCTTTCTATGGTTTTTGTATCTGTGGTAGGTGCTTTGTATTTGGACTGGCTCTCGCAGGAGGTAATGTTACAGGGCTTGAAATAGGGTTACTAATTGGCGAATTTTTGTTTTACTATACTTTTCATTTCGGATCTACTAAGGGTCATGTTTAGGCGTATTTCCGGAAATAGAGCTGTTTTGCCGGCCTGGTCGGCGTGTACGTTTCCAGACACTCCAACGTGAGCAGGGATCTAACTTGTTTCATGCATGATATATAGTTGGTTCTAAACGTTTGCTTTATTATTTTAAGTTATTTTTGGGCATTTTCGTTTTGAATAGCTGAGTAGTATTTTATTGTGTTGCTTGACTAGCGGGTTGTGCGGCGCTGTAACTCCGTAAATACTGACTGTATGTCGGGGAATCTTTATGATTTGGTCTGTTTGATGGGTTGGGATAGGTGGATACCGAAGCCTGAGTAAACGGTGCTAAAACACTGTGTCTTTTATGCATCAAACAACTGGGTTTGCACGAAAAAGACTTGTGGTCATCCATATCAGCAGCTTTGCATTGCTGCGTTTGGCGAAACTGATCCACGTGTGGTTACATGATATGGCTTCAAACCCGTCTGACAATGATTGCAGTCATAGTTCCATGTACCACTGTATTCCGGTTGTATTTTCTTTAGTATTTCCAGATTAAGTGGAATTTCTTTATTGCGTTTTAAACGTGTTTCAGTATAGAATATGGCTCAATTCCATAAATGGGTCTATGGGTCTCTACAGCGAGTTTAATTGTATGCCGCACTCATCAATATTCCAGGTACATGGTGGTGGTCTGAAAATAGACCAGACAATCCAGTGATCAACAGCATGAGCATCGATCTACGCAATTGGGATATGATGACATGTGTTAATGAAGTCAGCGAGCTTGACCACCCGATCCCGTTAGTTGTCCGTTACGACAAGCACCGTTACTGAAGATCAGTTCTAACCCGGATCTTCACGGGTCGGTGTCTCTACAGCGAGTCATATCCTAATCGACTGTAAATGAAATAATGATAAAAGAACAAAACTGACACCTACCACTGATAACCAGTGAAGCAAGAAACATCAAAGGAATCTCCAGCCTCTTGTCCATGATGCCACTCCGAAGCATCAGATCACCAAGTTGTACAAGTGGGTCATATGATCCTGACTTGTCCTTCCCCTGAGTACCTCCGGCCCACAGTTCGGCCAGCAGGGGCTTGATTGTCTGTGTGTATTTAAGTATTGAACTTCCTGGACGACCCACACACCTTGCCAACAGGTGTATTTGTGATTCAGCTTGTAATAATGCCTTGTGGAACAGTAAACTTTATCTTGCCTCACACATAAATGTCGTTTTCTGATTGGCCCTCGAGACCGGTGAACAACGTACATTATATGTTTTCATTCTTCCCCATTGCAAAGTGTTTGCCTTTATGGATATTTCACACAACATGAATATTTTCAAATGTCAAAGGAACGGTAACCATATATTTTGTTTTGTTTTGTTTTGTTTGTTTTTTTTTTTTGTTGATGAGAGTTTTGGTTGTTGTTTTCTTCTTGTTTTTTCTTGATTCGTATCGGTTTGTTGTTGCGTATTTTAGGAGGCTGGTTGCAAGTTATAACTGACAGTGATCTAAGCCTCAATATGTCCGCCCTCTGTCTTCTGTCGGTAGCTTATCCTTATCATTGAGCGGCTAAATCATTGGGCCGTACCGTGTTTAAAGGGAATCCAATGTATGTGAATATGCCTAACAGTTCGTACATGGTCCTTAAATAAAGATAACAGCAAATCCTGAAAATGGTTTCAAAGTGGCCAAGTTGTTGAGCAGCTTGATATCACATATGACTGATAGGCGACTCTTCAGAACTCAGCTGTTCGTAGTGTGAAAAGAATACAGAGATGCGACCACTTCAGTAATTGTATCTAAACACAGGCACTTCTGTTTTCGCACATGGATCGCACATGTAGACAGTGGTATAGCGTAACGACTAAATAACCATGGGCTTGGCGGTTTCAGTTAGACTTCATCTCCAGACCGACTGAAGCTAGACTTTACCCGGAGACCACGTTGGGCAATATTCCAGTTATAAATGAGAGTGGCAGCTTGATGCTGGAGGTAAGACGGAGATGATGCAGATATAAGATATTTACCGCATTGGTGGAATCCAGGAACAGGGGTGAAGGGCTGGTAAATCTAGAAACATACCTGGGACGAACCGGGATTCGAACCACAGTCACAGATCTAAAGGGAGGCAACTTTGTACTGCGAGTCGCCTTGCATTGTAGACTGGGCCGACGTTCCCACTGGGAAGCACCTAGACGACGTGGGAAGGTTTGTTTAATCAACGACTACAAATATATCCGAAATGAATTTTAGACAAGAACATGTGTCCCGTGATCGACTCTTACAGAAACAGTCACACAAATTAGTCCGGTGCTTGAAGAAGAAGTATATTACAACACAGGCGTTGCATGTGAAGGCGACATACCATTGTAACCAGGATACGGTGCATAGTGTGCTGGGTGTTGCCTGTGCTATAATTTCCTTCACTTTATCAGTCGTTATCAACCTGCTCTTAGAGCAATGCATATCAAACAATTTGCTTTATCGATTTTCTTTTTAACGTTTATGTTCACCTAAACCATTTCTCCTGGTGACTTAAGTGTTGTTCGATTTGGGACAGATAACGCCAGTGGGCGATGGGGAAGTCTAATGGTTAAAGCGGTCGCCCGTCACCGGGGTACCATGTGTTAAGTTCGTTTCTGGTGTCAGTTGCTGTGATATTACTGGAATATTGCTAAATTTGGCGTGAAACTGAACTCACTCACTAACGCACGCACGCACGCGCGCACTCATTCACTCAACCACTCAGTTGTAGTAACACACATCTTTGATATAGAAAGCGTTCAAATATACCAAAAGTTAAATACGGGCTGAATTTCATCTAACACCAACTCTTTACACGTTGGCGAAAGGGGAAAGCATATGCTACCTTATCTGTAACACCCTCTATTTACACGTTGGTGAAAAGGGTAAGCGTGTGCTCCCCTATCGGTAACACCCTCTATTCACACGTTGGTAAAAAGGGAAAGCATGTTCTCCCTATCGGTAACACCCTTTATTTATTTACACTTTAGTAAAAGGAAAGCATGTTCTCCCCTATCGTTAACACCCTCGTTTAACACCATGTTCTCTATTTAACACCCTTATTGAAAAAAGGAAAGCGTGTGCTCCCCTATCGGTAACACCCTCTATTTACACGTTGGTGAAAAGATAAAGCATGTCATGATCTATCGGTAACACCCTCTATTTACACGTTGTTGAAAAGGAAAGCATGAAACACCCTCTATTTACACGTTGCTTGGCATGCATGTTCTCCCCTATCGGTAACACCCTCTATTTACACATTGGTGAAAGGGAAAGCGTGTTCTCCCCTATCGGTAACACCCTCTATTTACACGTTGGTGAAAAGGAAAGCGTGTTCTCCCCTATCGGTAACACCCTCTATTTACACGTTGGTGAAAAGGAAAGCGTGTTCTCCCTATCGGTAACACCCTCTATTTACACGTTGGTGAAAAGGGAAAGCGTGTTCTCCCCTATCGGTAACACCCTCTATTTACACGTTGGTGAAAGGGAAAGCGTGTGCTCCCCTATCGGTAACACCCTCTATTTACACGTTGGTGAAAAGGGTGAAAGCGTGTGCTCCCTATCGGTAACACCCTATCGAAAGTAACACCCTCTATCGGTACACCCTTGGTGAAAGGGAAAGCGTGTGCTGCCCTATCGGTAACACCCTCTATTTACACGTTGGTGAAAAGGGTAAGCGTGTGCTGCCCTATCGGTAACACCATCTATTTACACGTTGGTGAAAAGGAAAAGCTTGGCATGCCCTATCGGTAACACCCTCTAGTTACAGGTTGCTGAAACAGGAAAGCGTGTGCTGCCCTATCGGTAACATCCTCTATTTACACGTTGGTGAAAAGGGAAGGCGTGTTCTCCCCTATCGGTAACACCCTCTATTTACACGTTGGTAAAGGGAAAGCGTGTTCTGCCCTATCGGTAACACCCTCTATTTACACGTTGGTGAAAAGGGTAAGCGTGTGCTCCCCTATCGGTAACACCCTCTATTTACACGTTGGTGAAAAGGGTAAGCGTGTGCTGCCCTATCGGTAACACCCTCTATTTACACGTTGGTGAAAAGGGAAAGCGTGTGCTGCCCTATCGGTAACAACCTCTTGATATTTATATTTCATATTAATTATTTTAATCTTTAAAAAAGTATGCTTAAAAATATGGGAAAGTAGGGCGGGGGTCATAACTTTTGTACATGGCATGCATGAGGGGTCACTTACTTCATACACATTAGGGGGCATTCACATTGTACATACGTCTCCATAACTATCAGTTACACCACCCTAGCCATAAATTATGAACGGTTCCTTACAAGAGAAGGAACACGTTCTTGAAACTGATTTGTCTCACAGTACCTAACATCTATTTTCCTTTTTGTCTAAATGGGCTTTCGAGAGAAACACAAAAGTCGATTGAAATGTCTTCTTCATTCGTAGCAGAGAAAGTATATGACCAAAGCATCTATGTTTAATGATGTGGGTGTCAATGTATACTTGTCAGGGATTGATAAGAGCATGATATAAGAGGTAATGAGATGCGACTGAAGTGGTGCACAAGCTTCACTCACAGAAATAACTACCACAATGTCAATAAATTTCTCCACGTGAGATAAATGAATCATAACTCAAGCAGAGGTAGACCAACACAATGATGACCTGAGTTTGATAGCAATACTGGAAATCGAATGTTCCGAAACAGAGCTTGATAAGGTTGTATTTACACACAGTTGCCTGAAAATCAATTTTGGCCGCTTTTAGCAATATTCTAGCAAGATCACAGATGGGGAGCACCTGAAATGCGCTCCACACATTGTACCACTCTGGGAAATTGAACACGGATATTCGGCGTGACGAGCGAACGCTTTAACCACTAGGCTACCTCACAGCTCCCGTGAAAGTAGTACATAGTATTCAAGCATATTCAATTTTAAATGGACATTGAATTCCTTGTGGGAGTATGGGCTTTAGGGGTATATGGATTGGGGCTGCAGGCTCAATGTCATTATAACCCATGATATCAGCTAGTGGTTTGTCTTGTCAGGAGAAGGTTATTTGCACGCCGCCGTCGCAAAGCTGGAGTAATGTTGCGTGCATCGTCAACAACAAACAAAACTGAATTTGATTACTATGCTAAATGTCGCCTTCACCACCTCCATCAACATGTGCCCCAATCTCATGAAATCTTGTCTCTGTTTGTTTGTTGTAATATGACAAGACAATCCGGTGACTGACAACTCACCACCTGATCCCGTTGTCGCCTCTTACAGCAAACACGTGTGGCTGAAGACCAGTTCTTAGCCGGATGTTTCATAACATCTTAATGGTCATACTTAAGGTTATTCGAATTCAAGAAACATGTTACTCTGTTCTGTGGATGCCAGGGAAGACAGCATGTCGTTCATTCCATATTTGAAGTGATTCAGTAAGTTTTGGTTTAACGCCGTCATTTCCAGTTTTTCAGTTATCTCACGACAGAATGTAAGAGGAAAATCATATTAATGTCTTCCCGCTTTGGTAAACACTGTTAGACATGCAAGTATCTCAACCTGATGTTCATGTTTTGAAAAATGGCTTAATTGCATCCAAGTTTTATTCTGCCTTGGATGGGGCTTCAGAAATATCGATGGTGTATGTAAATTGATAATTTAAATATTTAATGAGTGCATGTATTTCTTCAGTACAGAACTGATTTCACCTGAGGTATTATTCAATATTTCTACATCCCGACTACTGATATATAGTCTTGCTTCTCCAAGAACATGGCCGTCGTACCTTTCCTTTGCTCAGCCCTCCTGGCGATGGCGGGCTACTCAGGTGCCAGGTGTTTCGGAGATAAAGGCCCGTTGATGAAAACGGCTAATATTGGAATACACATGTGCGAACAGTTATGTATTTCTACTCCAGGCTGTAAAAGCTTCACATACAACGTGGGCTACCTTGCATGCGTGCTGTATGACAGACCGTCATTTCTCCTGGACAAGAGGATGAGGGTGTTGCCTGGAAACACCACACTTCATGACGTAAAGGAACCTAATGTAAGTGCTTACTCTTGTATAACGGATCTACTGGACAAACTGCAGTGAGTGAGTTTAGTTTTACGCCGCACTCAGCACTATTC